CCCCCAATCACATTTTGAAGGAGCTCTTGTAGCGTAGTGGTTACGAATCGGGCTGTGAACCGCAAGGTCAGCAGTTCAAAAACTACCAGCGGTTCTGCGGGAGAAAGATGAGGCTTTCTGCTCCCGTAAAGATTTACAGCCTCGGAAACCCTGTGCAGGGTCACTATGAGTTGGAACCAACTCCATGGCACTTAACAACAACAACTATCACATTTTGAGTCTAGAAAGATCAAATCTTGATGATAAGAAACAGTAAACTTGGTGTGGCGCTGTAGGGTCAGCACTAGACTTCTAATCACAGGGTCAGCAGTTTAAACCCGGCACAGGGTGACTGTGAGTCACTTGACAACACTTAAGAACAAAAACAAAACTATTTCAGAGTATAATGTGAACAGTTCTTTCCTAGGCAGTTTCTTCTCTTTCATAGAAGATGTTGGTGATAAACTATGCAGCAGGACCTGGCTTCCCTGAGTCTGTGCTGAACCTGTGTGTGGTGTTGGGAGTCACCTCTCGTTTAGTAGCAATTGCAATCCATACGTTATTCTCTGTCAGCTCAGTTTGTATATTTTGTTTTCTTTTGTAACCACCCATTTTGACTATTTTCCCCCAAAGATAAATATTACTGTACTCAGAACATTAATTTCTACCAGTGGTTCCTTATTTTGGTAATAAAAACTCCAAACAAATTCACTGCCAGGGAGTCATTTCCCACTCATAGTGTCCCCTGTATAGGATTTCTGAGGCTTCTGGTGTGGCGCTGTGGATTAATGTGCCAGACTGCAAAGCCGTTTGAAATGCAAGGTTGGTGGTTCAAGCTCACCAGCTACTCCTTGGAAACCCTAGACAGGGTCGCTATGGGTCGGAATCGACTCAACGGCACTTGACAACAACAACAACAAATCTTTGGGAGCAGAAACCTCCATCTTTCTTCCAAGGAGCAACTGGTGGGTTCGAACTGCCAACTTTGAATTAGTAGTATAGCACTTATCCTACAATGCCACTAGAATGAATTTTTCTGTCTTATCTCTCTACAACACACTCTACACTAGTGGCATTCAAAATTTATTTTTGTTGCTTTTTTTTTTTTTTTTAACTCCAAAGTAAATGTAATGTAATATGAAGCACAAGTGTCACACACACACACATAAATTGGCGCTCTGGGTTAATGCGCACACACACACATAAATTGACACTGTGGTTTAGTGCGCTGGACTGCAAGTTCAGTTTGAGCCATGAAGTCAGCAGTTCAAGCTCACCTGCCACTCCTTGGAAACCCTGTACAAGGTTGCTTGCTGTGAGTCGGAACTGACTTTACGGCACTTACAGTGTATTCGTTTTTCCTATTTTGCTTTAGGTTTTGTAATATGATTTCTTAATGCACTGAGTCACATGCCACAGTTTGAAAAAAACATTGTTCAAAGATCCAGTTCTGGTTTACAGTGTTTTATTTGGGGTTTTACATATAAGGGACCAAACTAAAGGAATGGAAAACTTGAAAGAAAGGAGTGGCTGATGAGCTTGAACTGCTGAACTGGCAGTTCACACCAACTTTGAAGTCCAGCGCATTAACCCACAGCGCCACACCAGGACTCCAGTGATATTAAGCAGTAATAAACCAAGAGCGAATCAGTGCCCATCAAGTTGATTCTGACTCATGTTAACCTCATGTGTGTCATAGTAGAACTGTGTGCCAAATAATTTTCCATGGCCGTTTTTTTTGTTTGTTTGTTTTAAGGAACAAGATTTTCTTCCAAGGCACCTTAGGATGGACTCCCACTTGTGACCTTTCAGAGCACGTTAACCATTAACATTGCCTGGGGTAATCGCTCATTATTGAGAAAGTGGATTCACTTTTCCAAAAAGTCTCTTGTAATGTTTTTTGATCCTATGAATTATGCCCAGATTTTTTTTTTTTTCCACTAGAATTTTATGACATCATATATGTTTTGTCTTGCTCCATTTTTTGTTGTAAGGGAATTTGATCAGTTGAATCATGTGCTATTTTTAAGATTTTTCTACCACTTCAAATCTAATGATTTATACTATATTGGCATACTTATCTCCAGTGATTGATATTATTATCAGTGTATGATGAGAATGAAGAGAGCAGAGAATAAAAATTACAAGTTAATGTTTAATCAATAGAGATAACATGTAAAAAGCATTACGTTTGCTGTGTATAAAAACCAAACCCACTGTTGAGATGATTTTGACTCATAGATACCCTACAAGACAGAGTAGAACTGGCCCATAGTGTTTTAAATAATTATGGGAGCAGAGTACCTCATGTTTTTCCCAAAGAGCAACTGGTTATTGGTGGGTTCGAACCAATAACTAGTAGGTTAACAACCAATCACTTAGTGATTGCGCCACCAGGGTTCCTTTTGTGATGTATGACTAGTCAGTGGATTTATCATATAATTGTAACATTTGACTATTCTTTGCCTTGCCCTGACATTTTGTAGAATCCAAAATTAAAGAAATGGTTTCAAGGAAAGAATAAGTACTCTGAAATTATACTTCACTTACCGAACTGAGAATTAATTCATCAGGAAAGTCTTAGTATACAAACATTCCATCCTTCCAGAGGGAAATCTCTTAGAATTCTCTCACAGTTTAAGCCAAAGCACTCCTGATAGAATTAACTGCTAGTTGATCTTGTTGCCTCACCTTATATTAATTTTAAAAGAATACTGACTTTAGAATTTTGTCAGTAATGACTATGAAAACATTTTTATTTACTGGCTTATTTGATTATAAATACATTTTCCTTAAAGATCTCAGTGCTTGTCACTTAAGCTCAAGTGGAGTATTGTGGGTAGCACATAAATTATTGTTAATCATAAATCTTAGACTATATGACTCTGTATATCTTAAATTAATAAACCAATTGTCTCTTGTAATTTTCTATACTAAGGTGAAAACAAAAAAGTGCTCATATAAATTTTTATCAAAAGTAATCACAGTTTACTTAGTGAGCTCCTGATAGTTGTTGCAATTAGGGAAGTGCTTTGGCAAAATCAGAGGCTGTCTTCTAGTTACTAATTTCTTTTTTTACTGATTGCCCACAGAATGTAAAGCACTGTGCCTTGGTTATTTACAAGAGCGTGATTTCAAACTGCTAGTGTTGGCCCAGACAGTTGTTTTCCAGAAAACAACTGTCTGGCCGACTGATTGGAAGAGATCAATGTTTGTGCCCATTCCAAAGAGAGGTGACCCAACGGAATGCGGAAATCATCGGACAATCTCTTTGATATCTCAAGCGAGCAAAGTTTTGCTCAAGGTAATACAGAAACGGCTACAATCATACATTGACAGAGAACTTCCAGAGGTTCAAGCTGGATTCAGAAGAGGCCGAGGAACGAGAGATATCATTGCTGATGTCCGATGGATCTTGGCTGAAAGCAGAGAATATCAGAAGGATGTTTACCTGTGCTTTATTGACTACGCAAAGGCTTTCGATTGTGTGGATCATGACAAGCTATGGACAACATTGAGAAGTATGAGTATTCCAGAACACTTAATTGTACTTCTAAGAAATCTGTACCTAGACCAAGAAGCAGTTGTTTGAACAGAACATGGGAACACTGAATGTTTTAAAATTGGGAAAGGTGTGAGACAGGGTTGTATTCTTTCACCATACTTATTCAACCTGTATGCTGAGCAAATAATACGAGAGGCTGGATTCTATGAAGAAAAACGTGGCATCAGGATTGGAGGAAGACTCATTAACAACCTGCGATATGCAGATGATACAACCTTGATGCTGAAAGTGAAGAGGACTTGAAACATTTACTTATGAAGATTAAAGAACACAGCCTTTGGTATGGATTACATCTCAATGTCAAGAAAACAAAAATCCTCACCACTGGACCAATAAACAACATTCTTATCAATGGAGAAAAGATTGAAGTTGTCAAGGACTTCATTCTTCTTGGATCAACTATCAACACTCACGGAAGTAGCAGTCAAGAGATCAGACGACGTATTGCACTGGGCAAATCTGCTGCACAGGAACTTTTTAAAGTTTTGAAGAGCAGAGATGTCAGCTTGAGGACTAGGGTGCGCCTGACCCAGGCCATTGTGTTTTCAATAGCCTTATATGGATGCGAAAGCTGGACAGTGAATAAGGAGGATCGTAGAAGAATTGATGCCTTTGAGTTGTGGTGTTGGAGGAGAATACTGAAAGTGCCATGGACTGCCAAAAGAACCAATAGATCTGTTTTGGAAGAAGTGCAGCCAGAGTGCTCCTTGGAGGCCAGGATGGCTAAGCTTCGTCTCTCCTACTTTGGACATATTGTCTGGAAGAAACAATCGCTGGAGAAGGATGTCATGCTGGGTAGGGTGGAGGGTTGGAGAAAAAGAGGAAGACCCCCAACGAGATGGTTCAGCCAGGTGGCATCATTGATGGACTCAGGTGTGGCAGCGGTAGTGAGGTTGGCCCAGGATCGAACATTGTTTCGTTCTGCTGTGCATGGGGTCGCTATGAGTCGGTTCCGACTCGATGGCACCTGACAACAACAACAACAACAACAACAAGTGTTGGCCCATTGGTAGTCATGAATCAGTTTAGTGAGTCATGGAACAGCAGCATATTTTTTAAATCATTGGTAGAATAGAAACCATTTAGAGTGGCTGACATTTACAAGGGGCTTCAAATTGTTCATAGAAATGTGGAATGAAAAAAATAATGGAATTTTTGAACCCTCCAGGTAGTGAATGTACATACCATTTTGTGAAAATTTTGTTTCGTTTTATATAGCTATGTATATGTGTTGGATCATTATATGAATGTCTTTGTTGTTGTTGTTAAGTGCCGTCGAGTCAGTTCTGACCCATAGTGATCCTTTATTAGGTTTCTGTAGAGCGGCTGGTGAGTTTGAACTGCCAGCTTTGCAGTTCAAACTAACCTTGTGGTCTAGTGCTAATCCTACAGCACCACACTGGGACTCCATGTCTTACTTTGGACCACTATTAAATACACTACTAATAAGAGAGAAGAAGGTTAATGCATACTTTATTTTACAGCTTACTATATTGTTGTTGTTATGTACTGTGGAGTCAGTTCCAACTCATAGCGACCCTGCATAGTGTTTCCGAGCCTATAAATCTGTACGGGAGCAGAAATCCTCATCTTTCTCCCGTGGAACAGCTGGTAGTTTTGAATTGTTAGTATTTAAAAAATCATTTATTTAGACAAGAAAACAGTAAAGACAGGTTTGAGGTATACATAAGGGTTAGGAAATGACATATGGACTACATTATCCAATTGACTTCTCTAGGTTATAAGACCTGTGCGTCTCAGACTTCAGGGTACACAGCTATCACTTGGGCTGCTTGCTAAAATGCAAATTCTGGCTGCCCTTAGTGAGTGGTTCAGATACAGGATGGAGCTTAAGAGTCTGAATTTTTAATAAACTCCAAGGTGAATCTGATGTCGGAACTCTTCTGGCTTCAATTATTAAATCATTTGTCTTGGAGGAATATAGTATATTGGTTAATACAAATGCAAGTCCATCTCCCTCAGTCCAAATCTAAGTTCCTCTGTTTATAAACTCTATATCCTTAAAAAATTATTAAAAGTTATGTGTCTCACTCTCCCCATCAAGAAAATAGTATTCACCTTATATAGTTGATACAGAATTAGTTACAAACCTTGTCAGCTCAAAGTTCTAGGAAAGTATCATACTATATACTTTATTTTTAGAAAACTAAAAATCTTCAAAAATGTTTTGTCTTTGTGAATGTTTTTGTACCTCATAGTTTATTTACTTAAAATTTTCATTAGTACAGAAACACTTAAAAAATAATTAGGCTACTATAAGAATGTCAGAACTGAAAATAAACAAGTTTGACTTTATATTGAAGGAAACAAAAGCATCATAGGATTAAATTTTGGGTTTGTATAGTATTTTCTATGAATATATTGTTTTTCCTACTTATCAAATGAATAAATTCTTAATGTAGAAACTACAAAAGTGTAAAGAATTTAACAATTTTAAAATTCATTCCTTTTGCAGCTTCGAGATTGTATCCAAAAGACCTTGAATGAGTGGAGTTCCCAAATCAGCCCAGAATTGGTCAGAGTAAGTGAAATTCAAATGCAGAAATTATATAGGTCAAAAGAGAAGTGCACAGAAAATTCATTTTCTCAGTGTTGAGCCACTACCCAAACCCACGGATAGCGATGCTATAGGACAGAGTAGAACTGCTCCTGAGGGTGTCCCAGACTGTGAATCTTTAGGAAAGCAGACAACCTCCTCTTTCTTCCACAGAGCAGCTGGTGGGTTTGAACTGCTGACCTTGCAGTTAACAGCCCACTGCTTACCCATTGTGCTACCAGGGCTTCTTTCAGTTTGGGCAGGGAAGTCAAATTGTCATAAAACTGCCTGTGACTGATGTGAGGAGATGGCAATCTGACCAAATTGGCTCAAGCAGACAATAGAAAGGCTGGGTTCTCTAGGGTCAATGCTTCTAAGATTCTCTCTCTGCTTAATTCCCGTCACACTGTCCTCACCACCAGTGCTTTGTACTAGTTTATCTTTGATCTATTAGAACATTTTGGTTGGTAGACTGTTTTGGTAGACTATCACTCAATAGTAACAATCATTAGAAATTGTATTTTAAATGGCAGTGTACGATGAAAGATTGGAGAACTCTGTGTCTTTAAATGTTAGTATGTGGCTGTCATCATAAATGTCAACATACAAATCACCAGCCTGCAAACCACTTTAAAAGTACGGAAGAAGACATGTTAGAAACACTTATTCCCCTGGACATACTGCTAACTTTTAACTAGAGCTACTAGGCAGACATTGATGTATCTTGCCAATCTCTGTTTCTCTGAAATTAGTATGTACTCTATGCATGACTATGCATGACTTGTAAATATGCTAAATATGCCTTAAGAGTCATGGGAAAGGCTTCAGTGTTTACTTTGTTCTAATCTTGCAAACATGAGTTAATAGGTTTCTGACTCAATGTGCCACCATTTTATTATGACCCTCGTGAACTCTCCATTAAATATTTTAGAATGACCTTCATGTTTGTTTTTTTTTATTATGCTCCAAAAAATTATTTATTTATTTGTCTAAAATGATTTGTATTTAATGTAGAAAGTTTCTCACATGTCATTACCCAAGATAATAATATTAGTTTTCATTGGTTTCTTTTCTAAGTAAAATTATCTACATGATAATGGTTCTTGCTCCTTATATCTAGCTCCTTATATGCCCCACTGTTTTTTGTTGTTATTTTTCTTATTTTGATCCTCTATCCTTTTGAGTACCTGACTAAAACAAATCACTATTTTCCAGAAAATGGACACACACACAGCACTTTACCTTTATTTCAGGGCTTTACAAATTTGGTGAAGCCCAGCTACACCTCAGGTGAAGACCTCTGTTATCTTATGGGCTCCGTGCCTCTAAAGTGAAGAGCTTTATTCATGATAGAAAAATATAGTTAATCAGAAACATTGAATTTTGTACTTATTTTAAATATCATGTGTTTATTACAGGAGTTTCCAGATGTCTTAGAATGCACTGTATCACATGCACTAGAAAAGATAAATCCCGATGAAAGAGAAGAAATGAAAGTTTCTGGTAAAGTCCAGCCTTTACAGTTCATTTTGTATGCAGTGGAAGTGATACCATGAAGTTTGGGTAGACAGGGGAATAAGCCTTTCTCCACATCTAGTAACAAGTTGCGTAGTCACTAAGGGCAGGAAATAGAAATATTCCTTTTGACACTTAATTTCAATGTCAACTCTCAGAGGGAGTTGTTAAGTACCATCAATTTGGTTCCAACTCAGCGACCCTGTGTAGGGTTTCCAAGGAGCAGCTGGTGGGTTTGAATTGCAGACCTTATGATTCGCAGTGGAATCAGAATAGAACTGCAACTTGTGATCCCTTACAGCATTTTTGTTGTCAGACTTTTGTTGTTGTTGTTCGGTGCCATCGAATCCATACCGACTCATAGCAACCTTATGCACAGCAGAACGAAACACTTGCCCGGTCCTTGGCCAGCCTCACATGGTTGCCATGCTTGAGCCCATTGATGCTGCCATTTTGCCAATCCATCTCACTGGGGGTCTTCCTCTTTTTCTTTGACCCTCCACCTTACCAAACATAATATCCTTCTCCAGTGACTGGTCCCTCCTGACAATATGTCTGAAGTATGAAAGACGAAGTTTGGCCATCCTGGCCTCCGAGGAGCACTCTGGCTGCACTTCTTCCAAAATGGATCTATTGGTTCTTTTGGCAGCCCATGGCACTTTCAATATTCTCCTCCAACACTGTAACTCAAAAGCATCAATTCTTCTACAGTCTTCCTTAGAGTAACAGAAAGACTAAAGTAAAGAAAATGGAAAGGATAGATGGAAGGCTTAAGAGTAGTGTCCACCCAAAGCAAGCACAAGCACTTCTTCAAGATATTGATAACCAATGACTGAGGTCACATGCAAAGGTAGAAAGAAGGCTGGGTATAAATTGCATGGAGAAAAGTGAAAAAAAATGTTAACTGTTACAGAAATGTATTGCTGACTGCTCCAGTCCAGAAACTTTGTTAGATTGAAGAAACACAAAAATGAAAAGATGCACTGTCTTGCCTCAGTGCTATGTAGTCATTAAAACAACGTGAACTCTGCAGTTAGACTGACTAGCCCGAGTATGCAGATTACTAGCTGACATAATCTTGGGCTAACAGGTTATATGACCTCTCTGAACTTGTTTCTTCATTTATAAAATGGGGATGCATCTGTTTCACAGACTTCATTGTAAGTTGGACAAAATGCTGCAGGCAGAGAAAGGCACAGAAGGTGGTGGTGATGGTTGTTAGTATCACTACTGTGGTGTTCTGATTGTAGTTGTTACTATTTTATTGTTACTGTGAACAAGTATGTTGTTAAGAGAGGTCAGGTCGGTTCCACCTCATAGGCTGTTAACCCTTGCAGGAGCAGAAATCCTTATCTTCCCACAGCTGGTGGGCTTGAACCACCAACCCCGTGGTTTACAGTCTGTGCTTGTCTTATATAGCCACTACACTACTATTTTTTTTTTAAGTCTTGATTTGTGCCAGGTACTAGGAACTTTATGATTTTATTTTCTCATATCATTTTCAAAACAATCCTGCAGAGATTACACAGATAACACTAAAGAAGTTAAAAGTTGTTATATAGGTCGCTACTAAGTGGTTGAACCAGGAATGCCGGTTTGCTTCACTCCAAAGCCCAAAAAACAACATTCTGTTGTTGATTGCGGTTTACCTTCTAAGATCTCTTAGTTCTAGTAGACCTTAGTATTTTTTGATAAGCATCAAAATTCTCTTTATCTGAAAGCTGTCATCACTCTACATATCTAAAAATACTTCATCTTTCAGAGAGAGAAGGCCATTTCAGATAACACTAATTCATGTCTAGAAAAATAACCATTGGGAAAGAGGGTTAATGTGCTGGACTGAGAAGTCCGTAAGGTCAGTGGTTCAAGCTTACCAACCACTCCTCAGAAACCCTATATAGGATCACTATGAGTTGGAACCAGCTTGACAGCACTTAACAACAACACTGTTGTACCCAAAGTGGTGGCCTGGTCATCTGACACAGGTGTTTGGATGGTTTTTAAATATGGTCATGGTATGAGGAGAACAATGTTTTAGGAAGATTATCAATAGCATGTAAGAGACAAGTTTAAGAAATGTCATTCAGAGAAATTTTATCACATATGTTACATGCCAGGCACTTAGAGCAACGACACCACAGATAGAGGCAGAGATGAAGACATGGAAAGATAAAACAACTAAGGACTCCAGACTCATGGAAAGAGAAAGGCTGTGTGCTGGCGGCCAGGAGACAGGCTTGCAGAATGTGCTCTTTGGTTGTTTAAATGATTATATATTCCTGAGTGTTTTTGTATATATCCCTCCTCCCCAAAATAAAACAAAACAAAACACATGAATAGAAGCAAATACATTTGAATGATGATGAATGGAGGAGATTGTAATCATCCCAATGAAACGATGAGTGCAAAACTGATGTTATCCCATGTAAACCAGCACTCAATTCATAATTATAATTTTTTTTCAAGTATTTCTTTAGCCCTGTTTCTCTCTATTCTCCTTTCTGAATTTTAATTTTCTTGCTCTCTTACTTCCTATTTGTTGAGTTCATATTAGAACAGTGAGTTTATATCAAGTAAATGTGTAAATAAGTATATAAAGCCTCAATAGTAAATCTAGACAGCTACAGGCGGTTCCTGGGTTATGAATGCGATCCATTCCAAAATGTCCGTAAGCCAGATTTGTAGGTAAAATAGAATAGCTGCATACAATTCGTATTTAGCCTTCAATGCATAAAAAGGCTCGATTCCCTTTCAGCGATTTGAAAGTTACAGGTTCAGCAAGTGAAGGAGGGTGATTGTGATAAAGAATTTGTTGGGAATAGAGATTGGTTTAGTTCTAAAGTGAGGGCAAATTTATGTAAACGGCAAGTACTAGTTGTGTGTACGTAACCTGGGGATTTAATGGGTCCAGTTAAATGCCAGTTAATGTCCAGAACAGGTATATATTGTACCCACTAAATTGGCAAATATTTTAATAATAGCACTCTATATATACCTGGTGTGGTACTGTGGGTTAATGTGCCAGACTGCAAAGCTGTTTGAACTGCAAGGTTGGCAGTTCAAGCTCACCAGCTGCTCACCCTTATACAGGGTCACTATGGGTTGGAATCGACTTAATGGCACTTAACAACAACAATATTGTTAGAAGAGCATTCTTAACTGTTAGTGGCCTGGGAAACTGAAGCAAATTTTTTTATGAAGTAGAATAGTAAATAAAAGTGAACAAGATTCACAAAAGTGATCCTATCTTTTGATTTATAATCGTGTTCTTGATAATTTATCCTTGGAAAATGATTTGACATAAAATTGAACAAAAAGTTACCAAGATAAATTGCATCGTATGATAACAACAACAACAAACCCAGAGCTAACCTAAATGTTCAATTAGCAGAAAATCACTTAAGGTATATCCTATCAAAATTATAAGAGTAATGTCCAAACTTTAAAAATGAGTTATGTAAATATATTCCTTAAAAACATAGAATACACAAAACTTCAACAATTGCTTGGGTGATTTCTATAGTGAGTACATTAGTATTATAATAAAATATTAAAAGAACTAAATGCTACATAGAAATCTATTTTTTAAAGTTATTACATAAAATTAAATCAAAAGTAGAAAAAATTTTATACCTTGCCTTATAGATTATATGAATTGGAAGGCAATAAATAAAAATGAAAATGATTTTATTAGGAAGGTGGGCTTATTCGTTCTTATTTTTCAATTTTCTTCAAAATATAAATTGAATTGAATTTTTACATGTTTTAATTTATTGGATAAAGTATATATTCTGTTCCACTAAAAATTAATTTCATAAAATTTGCATGTCAAGTAATTTGTTCTTCATGTATGTAGCTGATCCCCTTAATTAATGGAAAATTAATATCTGCTTTTCTGTTTTGACAAACAGGTGCTTGTTGGCAACTAACATTGGAAATAAACTTTTATATCACAAAATAAAACAATCTGAAACTATTTGAATAAGAAGGAAAAATAGCCAACTATACAAAATCAAACGGCAACATTTGCCCAGGGACAAGCTCAGAAGTCAGGAAATGATAAGAAAGAAGGACAAATGGAAACTGTAAACATAGGAAGGAAGTGGGAATTGCAATCAGTGTCACAAAATACAATGTGAATTTTTAAGTGGAAACACAAGTTAAAAAATAAATGTTAGGATTTTAAAATGTTAATATTTGTGTCTTCTCCAATAGTTTATCTGGTTTTCATAGGCCTTTTTAAATTATAAGAGTAAGGAGAGTGTTATACAGCATTTTAGATATACCTAAAGTTTTTTTGTTTGGTTGTTTAAAATAATAAAGACAAATTCATTTCTTTAAAAACAAGCAGACAAAACAGTTGCACCACAAAAAGAAAGCAGATCTAAAATTCAGAGACAGGCCTATCTGGCTCTAAGCTTGCTGACTGTGAGGATTATGTTCTTTGTGTAATGCTTCTCTATGATATATGCAGTAATTTTTTCTCTTTCTCTTGTTAAAAAGATTTGTGTATTTCAAATGTTCTATTAGCCTGTTCATTCATTTGCTGACCATTTAATTAAAGATAAATTATCAATTAAGGGAAAACTAAATATAGTTCATTCAGGATTGTTTGTCATCTTAGTATTTTAGCCATATTCATGCATATACTTGGTAATTAAATGTGTTCCTATGTAGACTCAGTAATCAGTTTTGTTTTCTTTGTTATCCAGCTAAACTGTTCATTGTAGGATCAAACTCTTCATCATCAACTAGAAATGCAATTGACATGGGTAAGCCAATATTTAACTTTTTTCTTAGTACTCTACCTACTCTATCCATTCTCATCAAGTGGATTGCAACTCAGCAGCCCTATAGGGCAGAACAGAACTGTCTCACAGATTGAGATCTTTATGGGAGCAAACTGCCAAGGCGTTCAAACCTCTTTGGTTGGCAGTTGAGTGCTTAACCACTTAACCAGTTAATCACTGTAACACCAGGGCTCCTAGGCTCTTGAGTAGTGGACTCTTAAGTTATTATAGGTGTGTTAGTTATAACTTGTGACCAGATAAAAAAGACAATGAGCAAAACTGCAAAGACAGTGAAAAGACTGACAGATGCCAGACACTCAAGAAGAGGATGAAAGACAAATAAGTAGAGCAGAGACATTTTTAAGGCCGAGAATCTGTATGATGCCCTAATAGTGGATATACAACATACATTTGCCAAAACCTATGTAACTGTACAACACAGAGTGAACTCTAATGTAAACTTTGTCCTTTAGCCAATGTATCAACATTGGTTAATCGTTTGTATCAAATATTACCACATCAATGAAAGATGTTAATTATAGGGGAAAAATTAATCGAAAAAATGAAAATGATCCCATTTCACCTTTTAAGTTCTAGCCAAATTTCTTTTTTTAAAGTCTTATTTTCTTAAAGCTTTTATCAAATTATATTTAAATTATGTAGGATCCTATTTTGATACAAGAAACGTGTACAAAGTGTAGCATATAACTGTTAGGTATGTGTTTAGTGGTGCCCGCACTCCACAGTCATACTCCTAACCTTCCTCTTTAGTGCTGTAGATGAACTGCACCCTACCAAGAAAATGAAGCATTTTATGTTTGTTTTTAGCAGCTAGTTATGTTCTTATGATATTATAGCAATTCAAAAAAAATTTTTAACATACAGTATTTGTGTGGAGTCCTGGTGTGGCACTATAGAATAAAGCACTGAATCAAAAGGTCATTTAAACTGCAAGGTCAGTGGTTCAAATTCACCTGCTGCTCCTTGAAGACCCTATCGAGAGCTGCTGTGAGTCAGATGTGACTCCACAGCACTCAGCAACAACAAACTACACACACACACACACACACACACACACACAAAGTTAAATAATCAGTTTCTGAATCTAACTGGAGTGATTGATAATCATTTAAAATAAGCTCTTGATTTTTTTATAGCAGTTAAGAAATATACCTCTATAAATATAAATATAGACTCCTGGTGTGGTGTTGTCAGATAAGCACTGGACTGAAAACCACAAGGTCAGCAGTTCAAACCCACTAGCTGCTCCTCACAAACCCTATGCAGGGTTTCTATGAGTCAGAACTGACTCAGTGGCAATTAACAACTACAAATATAGATTGTTGTTGTTGTTGTTGTTAATGTGCCGTGGTCAGTTCCAACTCATAGCAACCCTGTACAGGGTTTCCGAGGCTGTAAATCTTTAGGGGAGCAGAAAGCCTCATCTTTCTCCCGCAGAACAGCTGGTAGTTTCAAACTACTGACCATGAGGATAGCAGCCTGATTCGTAACCACTACGCTACCAGAGCTCCCTCACAAATATAGATTAAGTCCCTAAATTTCATCTTTTTAGATTCTCAACTTTTTCTTTGTGGTGACTACCATTTAGAATTGTAGGTCAGAGTTCTTGTGTTCATTTATATGAGATACTGGTGAGCAAATAGAACTGGTGAAGAAAATTTTTGAAGATAAGGAAGCTGCCCCAAAATCCTGGAGAAAAAGGAAAAAAAAAATTAATAGAAAAAAATGAAAATGATCCCATTTCACCTTTAAAATAAAGTTCTAGCCTAATTTCTTCTGTTTTTAAGCCAATTTTCTTAAGGCTTTAGTCATACTATTTAAAATTAGGATCATATTTTGATACAAGGAATGTAAGAAGTATAGCACATTACAGGTAGGTGGTAGGCCGAATTTCCCCCTAGATAGAGAAGACTCTCATAGCTGTGGTTCCCCAGGAAGAAACAGGTCAAAGAACCCTACTTGTCTACTGCACAGAGCAAGTAGATGAATGGGTACATACACATTTTTAAACAATGGAAATGTTGTAACTGAGGGTAAAATTGTAAAACTGAATGAAACAATCTGTTGTATAGAAAACCAGTGGACAAAATGCAGGAGGATGCTTTGGGGACATTTGATGGGATAATTGGAGGACCACAGACACTTGTTGTTATTGTGTCATGAACTTTTATCCTTTTTGCATTTTCTTTCCCATCAGCTTGTTCAGTCCTTGGAGTTGCACACCTGGATTCTGTGATCATTGCTTCACCTCCTATTGAAGATGGCGTTAATCTTTCCTTGGAGCATTTGCAGCCTTACTGGGAAGAATTAGAAAACTTAGTTCAGAGCAAAAAGATTGTAGCTATCGGTACCTCTGATCTAGACAAAACACAGTTGGAGCAGCTGTACCAGTGGGCACAGGTAAAGGGCAGCCAGATCCTGAGAATTCTGGGAAAAGAGCTTGCCTCTACAGTTTTTCTGTGAGCAGCATGCACAGAGTAAACAGTCACTGTGGGTTGACTATTCCAAATGTTGTTGGACTTTGGAAATTGACTTTACCTGAAGTATTAGGTTTTGTTTTTGTTTTGTGCTTTAAAAAATATATGTGTAATTAATCCCATTTACAATGAGTGGCCAAACACACTAGAAAACGTGTGTTAAGCATTCATATTCAAGTGAATTGAGACTGTCCTTCAGTCCTCTTTGTTGTTGCTAAGTGCCATCAAGTCAGTTCTAACTCGTAGTGACCCTGTATAGGGTTTCTGAGGAGCAGCTGGTGGGTTTAAACCTCCAACCTTGTGGTTGTCAGTCAAGTGCTTATCCTATAGCACAACACCAGGACTCCTTCATTTTAATTTTACTTCAACTGATGACAAATTACCACTTTCTTTAGATATTACTAGGCCCTAGCCCTAATTTCCTAAGGGAATATCATACATAAATACTTTCCCGACTGTAACTTAAAGACTCAAGACTGAGTTCATACAAGCTGATGTGGAATAGGTGGAATGTGTTAATTATACCTACCCTCTGGTATAATAGCCTATAGAATTATCAGGGGATATGGTTGCCAGTATTACACCTTTACTTTCTACGTTTTTCTTTACTCCTTTTACTTTATCCCCAACCTTCTCCTTTTCTGAGCTTTCAGAATTTCTTATGAACAGGAAGATTCTAGAAAGTGTTCCCCCTTCTCCTTTGACTTGGTGATAAGCCATAGTGTGGCCAGAATACTGGAGAGACTTGGACGGTTTGGAACATACTTATGAGTTTTCCAGTACAGCTATGGGAAGTTATTTAATTCTTCTCTTCTTATAAATGTGCCAAAATAACACCATATTTTATAATAGTTTCATCTTAATGTACTTAAAGTACTGAAGTAGATATTTCCTCTGTAACTGGAGCCATCACATTTAGAAGCAACTTTGTTTTCCAAGGCAAGTATTAGATCGACACATTATTTCCAGTGGGACACTTTTTAAACAATGTAGTACTAAATTGGATTTTTCCCCAGGGTAGAGTGTTTTTGTTTTCTTTCTTTCTTTCTCTATTACCACTAACATGTGCTAGAAAAGCACACATTAATAAATATATTCATGTAAAAGTGTTTCATAAACTTTAAACTGTATAGATGTGATTTTTTCTTAAGTTCTAAAATTGAGTCCTTTTATTGCTTTTTTCCTCAGGTGAAATTCATATAATATAAACGTAACCATTTTAGAGTATACAATTCAGTACCATTGAATACATTCACAGTGCTATGCAACAAAATATTTTTACCACCCCCATATTGCTTTCTCTTGTTATATCAATTATCTCCCTCTGTAGGGATAAATCATGATTTTATTTTTACTTCTAGGTAAAGCCAAATAGTAACCAAGTTAATCTTGCTTCCTGCTGTGTGATGCCACCTGATTTGACTGCATTTGCTAAACAATTTGACATACAGCTCTTGACTCATAATGATCCAAAAGGTAAAACTGATGTTTTCATTTATTGTGATTGATCCTTTTGTCTGACAGAAAGTTACTTGTTATAATTTAATATTTAATTGTGTACAATGATAAATATTAAGTGGTTTTGGCTAGAACTATTCCTATAAGTTCAAACATATATGCCCTTATTTTTGCCTTTATATAATGAGGGAAAAAGTGAAAGGAAATTTTGCTGAGCATCCAGTCTGTTGAGGTGAATAGATACAGATAGTTCCTGACTTACTACATATTCAAGTTAGGATGAACCACACTTACCACCATCTATCGTGTATACGTGTGTGTGTGTGTGTGCACGCATCTTATAAATAGTAAAATGTGCTGCATAGTAAGTGTTAACAGCACATAATTTGTTGATGTTATCATTCTCAGATTAATGTTTCCAACCCCAGAAAACAAAGATACTTATAATAAAAGGAAATGATAATAAAAACGTACCCAAAAATGGAAAGGTACTCAGCTTGTGAACTGACTTACCATGGATCGGTCATTAGAACAGGACCCCATCCTGAGCTGGAGACTAACGGTACTAACCACACAGAGGAGATCTTTTAAGGCATTCCAAATAGCCACTGCTCGGAAACCCTATGCAGGGTCACTATGAGTTGTAACTGACTCGACTATCCCATAGACTTTCCAAGACTATAATCTTTACAGAAACAGCCTGCCAAGTCTTTATGCCACTGTGTGACAAATAAGTTTGAATTGCTGACCTTCTGGTTAGCAGCCAAGTACCTTAACCATTGCAATACCAGGGCTCCTTAACTAAAGAAAATAACTAGAAAAAGAAGCAGATAAAATTTTATTTGGAACTTAGTATTGTTATTGTTATTAAGTGCAGCAGAGTCAGTTCCGACTCATAGCAACCTGTGTAGGATTTCCAAGGAAAGAGGCTAGTGGGTTTGAACTGGTAACTTTGAGGTTAGCGGTCCAGTGTTTATCCTACCGCACCACACCAGGACTCTGGAAATTTTAAGCCATGTATACTCTGAACTTAGGATGATGATGTTGTTGTTAAGTGCCGTCTAGTCAGCTCTGACTCAGCAACCCTGTATAGGGTTTCCAAGAAGCAGCTAAGTGAGGGGACTAGGAAGAGAATGTTTAACATACAAAGATAAATGTTTCATAGAACCTATGTTACAGTTATGTGAAGAATGTCTTATGAAAGTTTAAAATCTCCATGATATTTAATATGTTGATGTTGGGGGGTTTTTTTGTTTTGTTTTTTCAATCACTCCCCTCCTGTTTACTACAAAACGTCTACCTTTACATTTCCAATCCTCACAATCAGTATAACAGTTATTCACTATTGTATCATAAGAGACCTATCCGCATCTCCTTTCATCAGCCCTGCCCAGACAGATTGCACACTACTAAGAGGAGAGTCTACCTTTCTCCATGCCCTCTGGATCTAGACTCCCTCTTGAAAGCCAGTCACTTCTTGCCTTTGTAGCCCCCCCCCCCATTTTGGGTAGCCAATGTCCAATTTTCCCATCCCTGTCTACTCTGTATGGAAAGGGGGGTGGGTCATAGCAAGCTTTTGTAGGATTTCCGAGGAGGGACTGGTGAGTTTGAACCACCAACCTTGCATTATCCTGCAGCACTACACCAGAGTCTAGTATAATAAATGTTATTTAGTGCCTTTGAGTTGGTTCTGACTCATAGGGTTACCAAGGAGCCGCTGTCATATTTCACAGATGATTCTGGGAGAAAAAACATTCAGCGTTTACTTCCATGTCTAAAAAGATAATCACATGAGATTGATTGTTCTGATTTAATTTGTTAATTTCTAAACCTATCAAGATGGATAGTCTATCAAGAGTTCATGCCATTTATTTAGCAATCTGATTGCTTCTCATTTTTTCATGTATTGTAATACTAGGAGAAAGAGAACTGTTCTTTGAATGTTGGGCATCATGCAAATGCCCCACAGCAGCTGACACTAAGTATTGTGTTGATGAGGCATTAGAGCCTCCAAGTTTACAAAACCAGCCAAAATCATCCACTGGCAGAGGGTGGCAGAGTATGAATTTGACCTAGGTTTCTGACTGAATTGGGGATCTTTTGCCGCTCTCCTGTACTGCCCTTCTCTTTTGACAAGTTAGTGTTACAGGATTTCAATCTGAAAGCTTTATTATTTTCTTACCTTTTTTCATTTCATGACTAGACTAGGAGATGGTGACATTTGTTCCCCTACCACCAAAAGAACTTTTCCAAGTAAATAAACAGATTCTTAAAAGTCATTTTAGTGAGAATCTAGCAGAATTGTAATAATTGGTTTTTCCGAAACAGAAACCATTTAAATGTTTACTTTCCATTGGTTGGTAGATAATATGTCATGTATTTGGTTAATTTGGGGGTGGGGGGGCATTTATAGCAGTGACTGTGAATAACAGTATTCCCTTATGCTCCACATGCAAAAGTTTGATCCTTTTTCCAGAGGAAAGGAAGTAGAAAAAGACTAAGGTGTCTAATATTTTATTTCCATGAACCTAAATGCTGGAATTTAGATTGCTGTTATTGTTGTTAAGTGCCTTCAAGTCGGTTCCAACCCACAACAACCCAGTATAGGGTTTCCAAGGAGCAGCTGGTGAGCTTGAACCGATGAACTTGTGGTTCAAACTGACCTTGCAGTCCAGTGCATTAACCCACAGCGCCACACCAGGACTCAAAAATTTAGATTATCTACCAATAAATCATTGTTTTGGCAAAATGTGTTTCATATGTATATGAAGAAAGAGATTTAATTATTTTTCCTAAAGCCTTCCCTTAGAATGTATAGACTGACCTTCAGTGTACCATTGGCAAGTCTTCAGACACTTTGATCCTTAGTGAATTTGTTCTCTTAAAAGATGTTGGTGTGTTAAAGAGTTAAAATAGCTGAGTTACTAGTAAAGTTAATGAATAAAATAGTTCCCTGACTTGTGTCAGATTTCTTAAGCACTTGAGTTGTAAAACACTTAAGCATAGAATTTTGTTTATAAATCTCTGGAGGCATACCCCTGTTGTAAAATTACCCTTATTCCTCAGAAGGGTTTGTTTTCCATTACTCTTCATCCTAGAAGTGGTAGTGACAGTTTAACTATATTCAGGGTGTTGGTAGTGGCTGTGTGCCGTGGAGTCTATTCCGACTCATAGCGACCCTGTACAGGGTTTCTGAGGCTGTAAATCTTTATGGGAGCAGAAAGCCTCATCTTTCTCCCGCGGAACAGCTGGTAGTTTCGTACTGATGTCCCTAAGGTTCGCAGCCTGATTCATAACCACTACGCTACCAGAGCTCCTTAGAAGTAGGTAAACTTCCCTTTTTCATTTGCCTTCCCCCTTCCCCTACGCCCACTAAATCTAATCTGTATTATGCCTCATTCCCTCAGTCTCTGCTTCTCTATTAGACAGTCTGGTAAACAAATCCATAGTAATGTTACTTTGCCAAGGAAATTTTGCATATATTATGAAACTATCATTTACTAGCTGTGTAGCCTAACCTGTCTGCCTTGTTTCCTCTATAACAGGGAACAAGAGTACCATCTATCACATAGGGTTAGCCTGTGGAATAAATGAATTACTACATGGAATGTACTCAGCAAAGTACCTGGCACATGGTACTAGCTAACACTTACTGAGAGTTTACTGTTAATGCTAGTCAGGTATCACAGCAGGTCATCTGGGGTAGGAGGGCCCTTTACAACCCAAACTATATTTCATCTGACAATGAACAGCCCTGTAAGAGTAGAACTGTCTCATAGAGTTTCAAGATTATAAACCTTTAGGGAAGCAGACTGCTACATCTTTCTCCCATGAACAGCTGGTAGGTTAAAAACATCAACTTTTTCGGTTAGTAGTTGAGCACTTCAGCCACTGTGCCACCAGGACTCCTGGTGGCCCCTCTGTTGTTCTTGTTAGGTGCCATCCAGTTGGTACCAATTCTTAGTGACATTATGCACAACAGAATGAAACACTGCCAAGTCCTGGGCCAACCTCACAGCCGTTGCTACACCTGAGCCCATTGCTGCTGCCACTTGGCCAATCCATCTCATTGGGAGTATTCCTCTTTCTCTCTGACCCTCCACCTCACCAAACATGATATGCTTATCCAGTGACTGGTCCCTCCTGACAATATGTCTGAAGTATGAGAGACAAGTCTGGTCATCCTGGCCTCCACGGAGCACTCGTGACTGTACTTCCGACACACATTTGTTCTTTTGATAGTCCATGGTACTTTTAATAATTTCTCCTCCAACACCATAACTCAAATGCATGAATTCTGTGGTCTTCCTTACTCACTGTCCAACTGTCACATGCATATGAGGTTATAGAAAATAGCATAATACTTTAGTCCTAAAACTGACATCTTTGCTCTTCGGCACTTTAAAGAGGTCTTAGCAGATTTGCCTAAGGCAATACATAGTTTGTCTTCTTAACTGTTGTTCCCCTGAGTGTTGATGGTTGATCCGAGCAAAATGAAGTCTTTGACAACTTCAATCTTTTCTTAATTTATCATGATGTTATTTATTGCTCCACTGATGAGGATTTTTGTTAGCTTTACATTGAAATGCAACCCATACCAAAGGCTATGGTCTTTGATCTTCACCAGTAAGTCTTTTAAGTCCTCTTCACTTTCAGCAAGCAAGGTTGTATCATCTGTATATCGCAGGTTGTTAATGAGACTTCTTCCAATCCTGACAGCATGTTTTTCTTCATATAATCCAGCTTCTCGGGTTATTTGCTCAGCATACAGATCAAGTTAAGTATGGTGAAAGAATACAAACAACCCTGCCGCACAACATCCCTAATTTTAAACCATTCAGTGTTCCCTTGTTCTGTTAAAACAACTGCCTCTTGGTCAATATACAGGTTCCTCATGAGCACAATTAAGTGTTCCGGAACACTCATACTTCACAGTGTTGTCCATAGGTTGTCATGATCCACACAATCAAAACCCTTCGCGTAGTCAGTAAAGTACAGGTAAACATCTTTTTGGTATT